GTGTTAAGGGTGCTACAACGACTTCGTTGAGACGACCGAAAAGAGCATCACGATTGGAGGTTTAAGCAAGATCTGTTCTTTGTAGTGGTTGGGAGAGTGGAGTGACCTCTAACCTGTACCAAAAACATTTTAAACATCGATTACTGCTGGATTCCACACTCACCTCCTTCTCCTACTCCCTCTTTAAGGTGTTTTAATAGGCTTTCAGTAGCGCCAATATTTTAAAAGTGATAAAAGACAAGTGAAGTGGTACATAAGGTGGTCGTTTGGATCCCTCCAATGCGCAAAGTGCGCTACTCACTGCAAGACTAGCAAAAGCTCTGTTCCTTAAAAATACGCAACGAGGATTTAAGTTGGCCTTTACGCCCAAATCACGGGGTCGAGGCAGGCAAAAAACAGTTTTAACTGCGCAACTCGGCGTCTCCGTTTGCACCCGCCATTTGCTCGAAAGCCAAAAAAACGACGCCTGTGACAGTCGTTTTTAATTTATGTGGGAAGCGTGAGAAGGAGGTGAGTGTGGATGTGTGTGTGCATGTGAAATTGCAGTCGATTGCACTGATAGGGAAAAGTGACTCGTGGAATGAATAAAATGTTGGTTAGGCAAAAAAATTACAATGGCACTTCCGTTTTACAAGCGGTGGAGAGGCAATGGAATAAGGCCAGGAAGAGGACTTTAAGAGCACTTAAAGGGTAATAACTTTTACAGCTTAGGGAAGAAATGTTGATACATGAAATGGAGCATAAAAGCCAGAGAAATAACTTCTTTTATTGTAATATCAATTTACACCTGTAAATGTCGCACAAGAGCACTGGTAATAAGAATGGAAGTTGTCAGAGGAGGAAAGCATAAACATATTCACCTGTCCACCTTTGAATGACGAGGACGGGGACGACCACGAGAGCAAGCAGACACGGCGGCACGCAACTGAGATCTCACACAATTTTCGGAACACGGAGATTGCGTGGGGATGATGCTGCGACACAGTCCTTCCCGCCTTTGAGCTCCGCTTCGTGTCGACTATCACGACGTAGTCAACTATGCACCAAAATAAGAAAAACTAAACATTCACGAACTTGAGTGAAGGTGGCAACTTAAGTAGATACAGAAAAATGTTGCCTCCACTGGAGGTCCGCTTCCAGGGAGAGTAAATATTCCTGCTTTTCCTACTGCCGAATTGGCCGCTAAAAAGATCCAAGTCGTTGAATACGGCACGAGGTTAAAAACACGATCATAAAAAGATAATTTAATGGCGCTCTTCTCTCCTCTCCCTCTTAAAGGCGAATGTTTTGTGCACCGCATCCGAAATGGCGTGATGCGAACTTCAATTTTACCAGCGTCAAATCCTCTAATTTCTGACCTGATTGCTATAATTGCTGCGCGATGATTGCACGAAATTGCAGATGTATTGCTTTGCCTAAAAAAAATTAAACAAAATATTTATGCCTTAGAAATAAAGTGTGTTTTGACCAAAAGTCCGACTAAGACATCTGCAAAGCCGACCAACAAATACTCTGCTTTTATATTGTCATTAGCATACTATCGGAGGAAGAAGGGGCGCACAGGCTCTGTCAGCTCGTCGGTGTGATGACAGGCAAAACGATTTAAAGCTGTAGGAAAGGTTTGGCCCATGTTTACGTTGAATAGTACTTTTTCCCAAATCAGCGTCACTAGTGGGATAGTGGTTATAAATGATATTTTAAAGCTGTCGCCTTCGGCTTCATAAAAATGACGTCCGCTGAAGTACTTGGAGAGTCGCGAGAAGCTGATCTACCTTTTTTGCATTGATAAGTTTAGCTAAATGCATCTGGTTCTTATTTGAACCAACTAGAGGTTTTACGCTGGGAGAACGTTTATTTTGGAAACCCTGGATGACTTTTGTCAATTAAGTGCGTTGCGATCACTACTTAAAATTTGAAATTGCGGTTGAAATTCGAGCGCCCAAGTTCCGCCTCAAGACTGCAACAAACGCTTTGCCTGGAAAGGCATATTTAATTGGGCGAAAAATGAGGCATTTTAGGCAGTATATTAAAGTAAGTTTAGTTCGCAGAAGAGAGATCTTTGCAGATGAAGAGTAACACAACCTAAGTTTCGTAAGCGATTTGGAAAAATGTAAAATTTTTTGGTGGAGCAGTGGCAGCTTCACCTCATACGACAAGTTAACAGCTGCCAGTTACGGCGACATCTTTAGAGAAGTCTCAAAGTGCTATAATTCGTGCATTAAGATACAAATTTTTAAGGCCTACTCACTTGGCTAAAATAACCCTTAAAAAGTGAATAATTTACAGAAAGGCAAAATTTTCTGCTACCAAAAGTGTTAAATTACAGAATTCGCTTAGCGCATTTTATGCGTGCAAATTGCCATAACTATTTATGAAACCCATTTTTCCTCATTTGTTGCATCATCTTATGTGGCCTGTCAATATTAAGAAAAAAACCTTCCTATGTGTGTACCATAATCAGCTCAAACAACCGAACTCCGGTGCCCTGCTTCACTCTCACAACTCCGGTGACATCAGAGCGCGTAATTTTCGCTGAAGCGCATTCACTATCCAATCAGCGCGCTCACAATCTGAGCATTATGAGTGATGCCTCATTGGCTAGCCGATCGGGGGAGAATCGATAGTCGCTACATGCGTGCGCACGTGCTTTATCGGTGACACGTCCGCACGGCAGGCTCATGGACACGAAGGAGGAGGAGGAGGAGGAGGAGGGGAGAGCAACGAGCGCAGACTGGTGCGTGCGTGCACAAAGCAGTGGGAAGAGGCCATAAGGCAAACTCACTCGCTCACTCATTGAAGGCGCCACAGTTGTAATCATTCGCCCATAGGCTACAGAGAAATTTGACTGTAACAACCTGTTCGTCGTCATCGCCGTCGTCGATCCAGTCGTCGTCGCTTCTACCGTCAATTTGGCTAGCAAAGTGTACTTTGAACATACGCAACGAGGGAGTGAGGTGGACGCAGAAGAGTGCATTCATGTACGAAAGGAATTTTATTAAGCCTTGAGTCAAGCACCTCATTTTCCACCAAAAGCTAAGACTGGATTTTATTCAAATCGTAAAGGGTGAGTAAAATGGAAACCTTTTGCCCAACGAAATACAACTTGTACTTTAAAATATAAATTCTGCACAAATAAAGTTACAAGTTGAAACAGGTTCCCTAACATTTGCGGGCTTCAACAGGCATCCGGTTTTTCGAGATATACCACTCCATTTTCCACTGAGTCTTGCATCTCGCATTAATACTCATGCTGGACTGACTTCAGCATCTCATTGTAATTTCATAAAATTTATAAAAGTTGATCCTCAATATAAATTCTGCATAACGATAATAAATTTGATGGACCCTGATGACTTTGTTACACCGATCCTAAGGGAATGTTAAATGTCAGGAATTTTATTGTTTTATTGCACTACAGTTGTATCACCTAAAACTGACAATTGAGAGGAGGTGCAATAAACATTTTTACGTATTTCACTTTCTACAACCTCAGCCAACTTGCGGCCTGTGCGGCTATGCACAGTCTTGATTTGTTTGTAAAACAACGAGGGCATTCAAAAGTCAATGGTTGTCGACCCTAATTGTTGACGAGTTGATTTAAGGATATGCAAGAAAGCTACTATTTTAGGAATGCTTGCCCTCCTCGTTGCGATAGACAACTTTTGTTACTCCTTGGCAGACAATAAATAAGATTGAATCTTCTTTGATAAACACTCTGTGAAGTGATCTGACTCTCACCGACATCTAAAATTTCCCTTTCTTCCTCTTCTTCTTCCTCGTCCCCCCCTGTGCACCCTGTTTTGAGGAGGTAACTCTTATAACAACATTCCTCACACTAATTGAATCATTTGGTTTTTTTATTTTTTCTATGCCCAAATTGGAGGTGGGAGATTTAAAATTTGATTAGTGAAGGTGTGGAGACAAATTAACCGTCCTAAACCGGACCGTAGTTGATGCAGACGTCTGCAGGGCTTGTTTCCATCTCTCTCCGCATTTTGTGCACATTTGCATTGTGTTTGTGTAGATGCAAGGTGATTGTAAGGCCAAAAAGTGGACTAATGGGGAGTGAGTGGAGAACGGTAGCTGCGGCTGCTACCGCTGACTTTTATATCCGCCTTAGCCTTACCTGCCTAGTCATTAAGTAGATGATGCCGAACTACAAGTTAACTTTGTTTCATTGACAAAAGCATACTTTCCTTCTCTCCCTCTCTCCTCATCCGAATGAGTTCCCTTCTCCCACCCTCTCTCCCTCCCATTCCTTCCTGCCATCCATCCATCCTTCCTTCCCTCCTTCCTGCCCTCCCGTTTCATCGAGCTAACAGCAGCTGTGAATGCAGGTGAATGGCGAGAGTAAGCTTCAAACAGGTGCAACAATCAGCAGTGCTAGTGGTAGCGAATCACCAAGGGCTAACTAGATACATGTCAAAAAACGCTGTTAAGTGGTGTGAATTGAAATGAGAAATCCCCGAGGTTAGCGGTCAGCATTAGCGTTTGTGCTTCCCCTTTGCATGAAGACCAATTTAGCTGTGGCGCAGTAATTTGAAGGGTAAATTCCTGAAGTCAAAGCATTCCAGTGAATGTCCATTTCCATTGCTTTATCTGGAGTTGAGGTCTTTTTTGCTTCTTCGAAATTTGCTCCAAGGAATCACAGTCGGTGAAGGCGGAGGCGGAGGATTTCTCATGCACAGTCACGTCTGCGACGTCATTTGAGAAGAGGCATTTTTTTCTTCACTTTGGCATCAAAATTTCCCAGCACACTTGACGGTTGATTTGCTGTCACCGCCGTTTGACCAAAAAGAGCAGAGGCGAAACTAAACTTGCTAATTTTTGTTTCCTCAAGGTAGTTGTTTTGCCAAGTTTTGTAAGGCAAATAGTTGATTGCAATCTCGTTCTCACAAACACACACTATAACCGGTGTATTTTCAACGTCACGCGTCAATCTGCCTCAATTTCTCAGCATTTTAGGCCAAACGAAACGAAGGAGACGACAAGGCGGAAGAATGGGAAACGCGTTGGGTTCGCGGAAGAAGCTGCCCAAGGAGGATTTGGACTTCTTGATGAGCAACACGCATTTTACAAAGAAACAAATTAAGCAGTGGTACAACGGATTCATTGTAAGTTGCCCCAACTCCCCTTTCCTTCCCTTTTTTACCTCTGCCCTTTTTGGTGTACTGTGAGGCGGTGTATTGAGAGGTGAGGAAGCAACATTTTAGGCTTACCTTAGCATGAAGACGCTGATCTACTTGTGGATAATCGGAGAGCTGTCGTGCGATTTGATACAAGCAAGTGAATATCACAAAGCCTTGCATGCGATGAGTGGATGAAGATCTTCGCCTTCACAATGGGTAAAAAGAAGTAGCGACGATTTTCAGAGAGCTGTCGTTGGCGTTGTTGAAGTAGTTCCTTGCGCCTAACGTATAGCAAACATGCAAGAAAAGCCAAAACAGCCGCACAGAGACGGGTAGACTGAGGGATTGGTGCCTCTTCCAGCACTCCGATTGAGTCATGTGGCGCTATAATTTGAGAGTAACTGGGCGGGGGAGGAGGTGGCAGCAAAAGGCGCTGACAAAATGTGTGCGCCTTGCGGGAGATAAAGAGGCCGTAAATGTTGTGTAAATAAAAAACAGTGTGGCGGTAAACAAAAAAATATGATATGATTGAGGCAACGGCTCAGTTGGGAGCGCAAACACTTGAGAGTGCTGCCTTTGGCCTCTCGATGATATGCGTTGGACATAGCGCGGCCTTTTGTACTTTCGCGATGCCAATAAACGCCTTTCTGCTTAAGTTTTTCCGTGCCGCTCAATAAAAAAGTTTTAGCAGTTAGGTATGGTATTATTCTCATACGGACGCAAATAAAACGCGAGAGGCCTTTCAATGTGGAGTTCACTGCGCCATTCGCTCATTTAGACAGGTTTGAAGGAGCCGACTTTTGAGATACAACTAAACGGTAGTTGTAAATTGAAAGGAGTGAGGAGGAGGATGAGGGGGAGAAGGTGACCTTCAACCAATCCGAGAAGTGGATGTTTTCCTTCCTCCTCCTCCTCGTCTATTTTGCCGTACCTTTTGATGGTGTGCCGGTTGGGGTGGAGGCACTTCGACTACAATTTAGACAATTGCGACTGTAATAGGGGGAGAAAAATGTTGCATGCATGCAACATGCAAATAGACAAGAAAAAAGATAAAACTGGCGACGAGGAGTAGAAAAGCATTTAGTAAAAGCAGCGCTGTCGCCAAGCCTGTACCCCAATCAACTCGCATAGGTCGACTTCGGGGGCCACAAATGGTGTGGAAATGAGGACATTTCGATGCATTTGATGGGTGTTAAGGGCATCATTCCCATTGAAGGGTCCAGCGAAACCACACTCTGTTGCACTTTTTCAGAGAGACTGTCCCTCTGGTCAGTTGAGCAAGAAGAAATTCATCGAGGTCTACTCGGGATTCTTTCCAGATGGCAACGCAGAGGAGTTTTGCACTCACGTGTTTCGCACCTTCGACAAGGACAACTCCGGCAAAATTGACTTCAAGGAGTTCCTTTTGGCCATCAACATCACCTCTGGTGGCCGACCGAAAGAAAAATTGGAGTGGGCCTATCAAATGTATGACATTGACGGAAACGGCACCATCGAGCGCAGTGAGATGGTTGAGATTATCCGAGTGAGTCGTCTCTCCTACTTACGCCTCCTCCTCCTCCTCCTCCTCCACCTCATCACCTCACATCTCTCCCTTCCTCCCGAACTCACTCGTTCACTCACTGCAAAGGTGACGACAACGACGAGGCAAAGTAGTTTAACCAACTGAACTGCATGTTAACTTTCCTCCTCGTCGAGGAGTTGTATTAAAGTGTTCAGAGAGTCAAGTGTGGAGGTGATGTCACCCTAAGGGAATCCAACCTCCGCCCCCGTCTCCTCACATCTCTGTAGCATATGAGCGTAGAGTTCGTTGGCTGTGCTTCTGTCGGCGAATGTTATTTTGGCGCTAAGTTACTGTTGTTGCTGTTGTTGTTAATGTTGGTGTGACGAGAGATGGCACGTATTGTAGGCCATCTACTCTATGCTGGGCGCCGACGGCTCGTCAGCTGAGTTGAGTCCCGAGGCGCGCACGGAGGAGATTTTCGACAAAATGGATGAAAATCGAGACGGTGTGCTCACTCGTGACGAATTCATGAACGGCTGTCTCTCGGACCAATACCTCCTCTCCATGCTGCTTGCTGATGAACCTGTGGAATGATTGGACTGCCCTTCCATTCTCTTCCTCTTTCTCCTCCTCCTCCTCCTCCTCCTCCTCCTTCCACGCCACCCTCCTCGTTGTATTCGTCGTCGTTGTCCTCACTGGAGCTGCGTTGTGCATGCAAATGGAGAGACAAGCGTATGAAGACGCACAAAGGGGAAAACACTTTCAACAGCTCAATCGACTTCCTAGTCATTTTGCCTTCCCCTCCTCTCTCCACTCCTCCGTCTCCTCCCACTCCCCTCTGTTGCCCCTATCTAAAAGATCGTATAACTCGCATCTCTCGATACTACGGAAGACTATTTTCACCACTTCTTCCTTTTCATGCTTTGTAAATATGTGTGCGTGTGTGCGAAGGAGAGGAAAACTTGCGTGATAAGCTTCTCTTTACTGGCGTCATTTCTCCCTTCCTTCCTTCTCCTAAAACCCTTTTTCTTCCTTCACTTCCCCATCTGTCCACTTCTTCGTAAGCACTGCCATTCAAACCACAACAACATGCATAAAACGGTGCATTTTTAAAGAAATGCACGGCTTTGATTTGAAGGAATAAAGATGCGTTCAGCATTGTAAATCGCGGTGGCATTTCATCGTGAACCTGTTCGCTTTGCACTACCATTATAAAGCACCGAAATTGGGCTGTAGCCACTTCCTCTCAGCACAAGGAGAAACTGGCTAATTTTTAAATTTAACAAACTTGTCTTTTACTCCTCAAATGACACTTCGCAATGGTTGCTGTAACTCATTCTCCACTGCCTACCGCATCTCTCTCTCTGTCCTGGTAAACACTTCACGCGTCCGTCGCTATGGAGATGTTCTAATGAGCACGGTAGTACGAAAGGATTGTGCAAGACGAACTACTGAGGAAGAAGGTGGACGATGGTGCGTTTAGTTGTAGGCTTTGGCGATGGCAGCGGGCGTGCGTGGCTCGCTGGTACCTCGTATTTCATTGAGATGTTTATGGGGAGATTTGTCGTAACCTATTGGTGTCATTGTTAGGCAATGTAAATGCTAATTGTGTACCGACTTATCTTTATAGTTGAATTGCAACGACGGGACTGAGACTGGTCTTAGTCATGCTCTTGCGGCTTCCGCTTGAATGTCTTTCTCCTTCGGTTGATGCTTCTTTGCGTCACTCTTGATGCACATTGCCTGATGATCGGTGTTAATAATAATGATTAAAATGCATACTTCCTGTTTCCCGGTATGTCATACGTAGTTTTTATGTTTTGATGATGGTAGGTGTGCTTTAGCTGCGCGCAGCGCTGAGCGCAATCACTTTGTGTCGGTTCTGATGTTTCTGCTTCTTCTTCCCTTTGTTGAACAAGTAAATATGCAGGAAGGTGCGGGGAGTGCAATGCGTCAGTTCTTGTCATTCTTATTGTTGCCGTGACAGCCAGTAGGAGGGTGAACTCAGTACGGGATGTAGATGTATTAGTGCCTTTTATTGTCGCAGGTGACGGTGGTGATGGGGGATGATTGATGAGGTGGGCAAATTACACTTTGCCATTTTCGTTGTATGTGCGCATGTGTATTGATTTTCATTGATTTTGTAATGATATTCTTGCCCAAACAGGTGACCGTGCATGCTGGTTGCGATGTATGCATGTGCACTATTAGCGACAGATGTGGATGGAGTGACCCCGAATTCTGCCTGCAAAAAGCTCTTGACATCGAGATTGCGATAGCGCAGACTAATGTAGACTCGTGCCCTCTACTCACATCCGTGGCTTTTCACTGCGGCATCGTTATGTGACCATTGTACCATTTCTTACAGCCCTGTCCCCCACTTGATCAGTTATCCTTACACCTAACCTGCTTTACTGATACTGGTCACACGTAAAAAGAGGCACTTGAATGCAATCCTCACTCACTACCGCATGAAAAACAGCAGCATTGAGTAATTGCCTACTTGATGTTGAAGCCGCTATAGGGACGTGGTTAGGAGCTAACGATGTAACATCGCAACTCCACGCATTCACGTATTAGCACCCTGTGAAGCATTGAAATGACCATCACCGCCAACGATACTATGTTTTCCACCTTAGCACAGAAAAAGAGAAGTAAGCCTAAACAGGCAATTTTGATAACAGCAATGCATGCCAACAGAAATGTACGATGCCATATATGGAGGCAAATCTCGAGAGTCTGATGATGAGTTCAATGCAGTCATCTACAAAATCACACAAATCATGTGGTGTCTGTGCTTTAGCCTGTTCACTGCACTTGTTTATTAGCTTCAGCTTGGCCTTTTAACTGTTTCTACCTTCCCAGCGCTCACAAAGCCATTGGCTCCTATCAAAAAGACGGTCACGGGCCTTAATTCTTTACCCTGTTCACGTCAGACAACGACACAAAAGAGAAATACGTTTGCCTTTCCACTCATTTGAGCAAACCAATTGTGGAAATTAACACCTCATTACAAGTAAGTGTGCGGAATAAGCCAAAGCCAGCACTTGTAGTAAACACTTAGGTCACGCCCTTGAAGATAACAGCAGCGTTGATAATTCTAGCCAAAGAGAACAAAAATCAGTGTGAACATGCAACATAATCAGTAAATCTTGGCAGCATTTCTTGTATGACATACAAGCTACCTTAAAAACCTCCATTATTATCGATACCCTCCATTCTTATAAAGGTCAAATGGTGTTGTCACAGATACACATCTAGAAAATTGCGTGCCCGCTCTCTCTCTTTTTTCGCAGCACCGATTCAGTTACTATTTTAAACTAGTAACAATCTTAGCAGATGTTGTGCTTGTGGTGAGGGGTCTGGTTTCTGCTAATTTGAGAATTTTTGGGCGTCTTCTCTGTACGTCAGAGGCGCTTGTTTTCGTACTTGTAACATATACTAGTTTATTTAAGTGACTTTGATAGGTGAGAGGCGGGAACCAATTGGGAGCACAAATCACGTGCGTGAAGTCGGCGAGGAGTCTTTCCCCGGCTGATGTCTTCAACTCACCTCATCTGTACTCCATTCTCCATCCTTCCTTTTAAAAATGCCTACTAAATCGTCTGCAACCAACTGCCTCTTGAAGTCTGAGGATCAGGGAACAGAGGGTAGACAGGCAGCTCTTACAGTACTCTTCACGTGTAGGTTAAAATTTAATTGTGATGATGCATTAAAATTTGACAGCACTATGATGGGTCACTTGATTTGGCACTGAGGACTTTTAATGATGTGTACTTCAGTGTGAGGAACGGTTTAAACAAAATCGGCTTTATTTTGCCAAAACACATCAACCAGTGAGTGAATGGAGTGGAGGGAGGAGTTTCATTTTTCTTGAGTTGTGTAAGTAGAGGAGCTGCATACATTTTTGCATGAATCTGAGGTGACTGTGAATCACCTACGCTTTGCTGCTAATGAGCTGTCCATATATCGCCTCAACAATGACAACCATTATTAGTTTGTACCCGTTGGAACTGGCTTACGCAGCGGATTTTACGTAGGCGAGAGATTGTATTGTCACTGCTGTGCCAAAACACGAAATCGCACATTTCTTGTTCCACCGTGTAACAGACCGTATCCTGCTTGCAAACAAAAAGGACACCATTCCTTTGTTGGCAGCGGTGGATACCCGTTTCCGTCTCCACAGCAATCAGTCGAACTATTGGGGGACTATTGCGTAAGTGCCGCCCACTTGCTCTCTTACCACCTCCAGCATCTGTAACACATTGAAGTGAGCTCCACCGATGCTCAGTTGCTGTCTCATCTGCTGTCCCGCTCTCGGTTAGCAGTCTGTAGTCAAGTGTCTTCACAAGCAATCGTGCACTACAAAAGTGCGCAGCAGTTAATTCCCAAAGTAACAACTATCGTAAGAAAGAAGTGCCTAGAAAAGCCTCAGCTGTGAGATCGAACCCTAATGAGCGCCAACTACTGGTGAAATGCTTCCCTATTCGGTTCCCGCGATTAGCCAAGCTGCCTTCTAAGGAATCCTTTGACCTGCCTACATGTACGTTTTCTGCAGGGTGTCAACATCACGACAATGAGAGACGAGAAAAAAAACAAGCAATCTGCGAGGGATATTAGTAGAAATAATATTTTTTACTCCAAATTCACTTTTCAGAACTGCTTTGAAGTGATGTACAGTGTGAAAAGGTGTGACACGAAGCACACATCAACAACTAAATGCAGACGAAGAAAGGATGAGTCGCAAATTTACAGATGATGGAAAAGGGAGAGACACACAAGTTATACCGACTGCTCGTTCGAATCATCAACCTGTTCCAGAAGGGGACGGACAAGACTGTCACTACCTCGTGTAATAAAATGGTATCCAATGAGGTAGACGAGTAGGCACGCCGCGGCGGAGATGAGAATGATGGAAATAACGACCATCGTCCAGATGAGTGGTGAGTAGTATCCAGGAGGAGGAGTGTTGAGGGCAAAGGCAAAGCTCCTGCAACATCAATTGCACAGAATGAAGTGGAGGAAGGTAGTGCTCTGCGTGAGATGCAAATGAGTGAGAGAGAAGACATAGTAATGAACGGAACAAACCTTGTGAGGTGATCAATCGCTCCCTCCCTCCCTCCTAACACAGTTCCACTATCATTTGCGCAACGATGGAGGGGGAGAAGCCAACATTTAATCAGCTTTGTAGACGGAACAACGATAACAAATGCAGATACTGTCACCTCAAACCTGTCTACATCACCACAAAGGCACGGAGGACCGATCAACCCACCTCAAGGGTGAGCGAAAACCTCCTCCTTGCAGTACAAAAAAGTGGTGCAAGATGGCAGTCACTCACCAGTCAATGTAGTTGGAAGAGCGATAGAAACCATCGCCACTGTCGCCGAAACTGACATTTACTTGGCGAACAGCAACGGTATTAGCAACGGCCCCGTAGACGAAGGGGAAAAGGGAAGATTTGATAAGAGACCGATTTGTCCCCTTGTCAACGCACAACTGAGGCGACACAGCGACTGCTCGACTGGACTTCACATTCGCTGCTGCTGCATCCACGTAGCAGACGGATTTCCACGTCACGTAGGAATGATTGGTGAGAAAAACTGTCATGTCCTGAAATCATCAATGCATTTATCTTAACAGGTTACGCCTCTGCAAATCACAACAACTTTTAATGTCCCTCAACCTCACATGCCGATCACTTCTACAACAATATTTTTGCAATAACTCTGCAAGGATTGTGCAAATAGTTCTTATTAGATCATCAACCAGATTCAACCACTTTCGCTTGACTCACACTTTGCTGACAATATTGGAAGAAGAAGTGACCCAAAATGCCATGCAGGTGGCGTTGCATCGGAAAACGCAGTTTAACAAAAAAGACAAGTAGAAATAAATGTCCGATGTAAAAGGCAAAAGTTGATGCTAGCCTCGATGGTGTTGCATTCGCCGTGGTGGTATTGGCAAAAAGGTGGTCAGCAAGCGCATATGCCGTTACCCACATTTCCACCCCTGCCACTCTCCCACGCTGCCACATTAGCCGATGACCACAGGAATGTGTGGGTAGGAGGAAAGAGAAGCTTGCGGACTTTTTAGATCCTCTCACGCGATAACACTTATTTTGGTTGCATAATTGGAAATAAGCGCAAAACAAAAACAAAGGCAGTGTGAAATGTAAACTGACATTGCTTTCATCGTCCTGGATTCGTTCAGTTCATCCAACAGTTGGTGATTGGAAATGCTTCCGATGATGCCACTTAATGTGTTGGCACTTTCTAATTTGTACACTTGGCCAAACGCCCACCCATTTGTACGCGTAAGCAGGGGAGACAACAATGAAGATGTAAAACTAAAAGTATTGACGGTGTTACTTTAAAAAGAAAAGAGGCGATTTTCGCTAATCTTCTGGCGTGATGACGAATTTCACCTACAGTGAAACTATGAGTTTTTCAGTGCTGACAGCCGCCAAGTGCGCCGCGCGTGCGCACTAGCTCTTCGGGAAAACATGTTGGAGGGGTTCACATACGGAAGTAACCTGCACATGCACATGCGCACACCCAAGGCCATTGGATGACGTGACAATTCTTGTAATCGATTACATGCGAAATCGGTCGACTGCGTGTCTCAGCATAAATAAACACACCGCATGGACCGTTACTGAAGCGTAGAATTAGCCGAGAGAACATGGAAGCAGGAATTGTGACAAACGCAGTTAAGAAAACCCGAAAGTTACTTCACCAAAAATGGGTAGTGGTAAAAGGCGTGCAAACCTTCATTAGTGTCAAGTTAATGTAAACAGAATCCGTTGTTTATTAAACTATTCAATTATGCCTCAAAAAAGGTGCAATATTCCTTTCTAGTTATGACTTTACTGATGTAAAAGCTGCTTCCCCGTCTCCCTCACCTTAAGTGCAGTTAAAGACAAGAGTAGAGACGATTTTGTGGTCTTATTTGACAGGAGGTGGCTGATTTGATGACCACTACAGGCATAGTGGGGCATCTGGACACGGAAACCTACCTTGAACGCTCCTGGAGATGGCTCATCATCAATGGATCTTAAAGTGACGTTTTCAAAAACAGCCGAGTCTGGAAGACTGCGATTAGCAACTATGGCAAGATTCAATGCCCACCGCGTCTCCTTCCACTGCAAGGCAAGACGTTGCAGTACGACCATCACCCGAACCGCCAACCCACCAAGCAAGAGGGTGTGAGGTGCACGATCAGCCAGGCGGTCTTTCTCGGAAAACGTGAACTGAACAGACGCAAAATGGAAAGTATGTAACATAAGAGGTTTCAATGCAGATATTGTAAACTCGGCGCAGTCCCCTTCACTCGCATTGCTGTTTATTAGAAACGGCTTGTGCTAGGACAGCAACTGAGAGGTAGCTGCGGACCTCACCAAATAATCTTCAAAGCCAATGGCAGGACGAAACAACACTAATTTTGACGATCGTCACGAAGAAAATTAGTGAACTACATTCATTTAGACATATAAAAGTGGAATAGCAGCATAAGATTACTTCAGACTCCATAGCTGGCGTAAAAGTGTATCCCAATGCAAAGAAGCAGTGCTGTCTGCTCTACAAAAAGATGCATAGAAGACAAATCCCTTTAGTTTGGAGAAACAGCCAGTATTTAGACGGCGAATTAAATAAAGTGGCACGATAATGCAGCAAAAACTTCAGTTTTCAAGAAGTCTTAAGGATGGTACCATGAATGGAAACAAGCCAAAGGCTAACAAGAACAACGAAAAACGGACTCGAAAGAGCATCCGCAAAAAAATCAGACACATTCACGTCTAAGATCACAGAACGAATGGCTAAAACGATGCCCACTAATAATAATAATAACTGGATAAGTTGAAACGAACCTCAAGTTCAATGAAGCCTTTGCTCGCGAATATCACTGAAGGTCTTGAATCATTACAACGCAGCGCAAGAGATAACAGTCCTGTTGTTGAGTCTGGCAAAGGATCCCAGCGTGAGAGAAACCAGAAGCAATGGTTTAGTGGGTACTTCGTAACCGACCCAGCCGCTCTTGAAATGTCCGCAACATCACTGCGATCTTCGTATTGGTACAGCTGAAGGTTGAAGAAATTGACAATGATAACAAGAAACACAACGCACCATTGCGCAGGAGAAAAATAAAGACCTACGTTTGAGAATAGCAGACCGTAAAACGAGCTGTTGCTGAGGACCACAGACTGACCTGGTTCGTTGGAGAAAATGGAAGGCCAGTCAAAGTAAACTGAAGAATTAGAATCGCTACGAGACACAAACACTGAAGGCACGCTATTTTCCTTCGTTATTGATACAATGAAGTGAACAGAAGAGCTTTGTTCGCGGAAAACAACGGAAACAACCGATATGTTTGAACAGTTATTACAGCCTGGATTTAGAGATGCTGAAAGCTAAAAATCGAAGCAGTTAACAAGCACCAATTTACCGATTGGGTCGAAGACCAACGAACATGCATTACCGCTATTGTCATGAAAAGCAACAACATCTAAACGACTACACTTAAGAGACAATAAGATACAGTACAACTGACCTTGACATAGAACACTAAAATCATAAAAGAATTACTTGAAAAACAACAAATATAAGTTAATACCGTACTTAATAACTAAAACTTAAAATTGCTTTTTAAGATACATGCTTTAAGTGTAATCACAAGAGTTTATTGCTTTACATTTATTAAACAAATTATTCGTGTTAATTAGGGCTAAGCCAAACATTAACACTATTTTCATAATTTTTTGTAGCTTTGTGATCAACCAATATTTACTAATTGCTCGAAAAGATCTAAGTGCATTGTAGTACAGCGATTCTCCCAATTCACATCTAGGAGTTTCAATGGAATCAAACAATAGCTATTAGTATTTGGCGCCTTGTATATACAGCAGTCTTTTTGTGGAGTTGCACAAGCTAATATAATATATACTGGAGTGTTTCAGTTGATTTTATAGGGAAGAGGTGGGAACTGAATTGGACAGGGAACTCCGCGCTCGAGGACCGTGAGGAATCTCTCTCCGGGTGATATCTTATAGTCAACTTATTTGTACTCCTATGTCCATTCTTATTGTATCAAACACCTAATAAATCAACCACAGAATGAGAATAAACAGAAGTTCCTGCAACTAAGCGTTAGTGTTTTAAAATGCTATGCCATGTGTAATGCTTTGTCCATGTGACTACCTGACCTTTGCGGTGACGTTAGGACTTGTCTGGCCCTTGTACACGTGAGCTGTGTAATATATACTAGTTTGTTTAAGTGGACTTTTATAGGTGAGAAGTGGGGGACCAATTGGGGGCGTGAATCACGTGCGTGAGGTCGGCGAGGTGCTCCTCCTCTGATTGATTTCTCCTACTCACCTCATCTGTATCCCATTCCCCAGCTCTCCTAACAACGATGCCTAATAAATCGCCTACAACCAACTTCCTCTTAAAGTCTGAGAACCAGGGACCAGAGGGTAGACAGGCAGTAAATACACTGGTGGCAGCGTCGGTCGACATCCCTCCCTTCAAAGAAGGCACTGATTTCGATGACTGGCTTTTCTTTACAAAGGCTGATCTCGAACTCTAAGAGCCTGCTTGGCGAGTACCATTGCTACTCCGCGCCTTGCCCTATGACCTACGTCGGGAAGCAATGGATGCGGGTGTCTCACTTTCCTCACACATGGAAGACTGCTGTAAGGTCCTTGTCAAATTGGCATCCCTCCAGAAGGAAGCAGTTTTGGCTTCAGACTTTTTCCACCGGTTACAAAAACCGGGAGAGAGTGATG